CCATCTTTGAACTGTTGATGAAGATACAGGATTTAAACAAAAAAAAAAGTATTTAAAATGATAAAAATGTTCTTGGAAGGACTGACATATTTTATAGAAATAGTTTCTTTCATTTTGAAGTAATATTAAAGTTTTCAGAAGAAAAAAGACACAAATGATGTAAAATCCTGCACCTTCTACTTGTTTGTACAATTTTCCCTCCGTTACTTTTCCCTCCGTTACCATGAACTTTATTAATAAAAAATCTCATGAGTCAAAAAGTCAGAGGTTTTTCAACCTAATCTTGTTCCATATGGTAGAAACTATATGAAGCAAATATTCAAACCAGTTTGTTCAGGATATGTAAGTGAGAACCAAGAGTTATCACTGTTTGGATTTATTGACCAAAAAGTGCTGCATATTTCATTCCCTCCGTTACCAACATGAGTTTTTACATTTTTTGTGTTGAACTTGAAAGAATCTGACAGGTTTAACTTGACCCTGTTGGAGTGTAACTCTTTCCTACATTCTGATACTTTACTTATTTCAATAGTTCCTCTAGTTTCTGAATAAGACACATTTGAATGTCAAACATCTGACCCTGTTTCCTCCGTTAACACTTGACCGACACATTTACACCTCAAAGTTTGAACATGAACTTGTCTGTAAACAGAATAAATCCATTTTTGTTGTAAAATTCTGCACTCGGCTCCACTTTTCTCATGTTGGACATTTTTCTGATGAGGGTCACGGTCGACAGTCAAAACCATCGTCCTTTAAGACGTTTGGAAAGAGACAAGTCTTCATTTGTGCTGCTCTGGTGGGAGGGGCCACGTACAGAGACTCTGGTGGGAGGAGCCACGTACAGAGACTCTGGTGGGAGGAGCCACGTACAGAGACTCTGGTGGGAGGGGCCACGTACAGAGACTCTGGTGGGAGGGGCCACGTACAGAGACTCTGGTGGGAGGGGCCACGTACAGAGACTCTGGTGGGAGGGGCCACGTACAGAGACTCTGGTGGGAGGGGCCACGTACAGAGACTCTGGAGACACTGCGACGCTCAGCACTGCACAAAATTAATAAATAAATTCATTTTAATAGAAAATATAATAAAATATTTGAGTATAAAATCAGCCGAGGTCCAGATTAAAGGTCTTGGAGGCCGGATCTGGCCCCCGGGCCGTGTGTTTGACTCTCCTGGTCAGTGTTGAGGAGTAATAGATTACATGTACCAGAGTGATGTAATCAGAGTACAAATGATGAGTAACTGTATTCAGTTACAGTTACTGTTTCAGTGAGTGGTAATTGGATTACAGTTACTTTGTTGAAGAAATGGATTAAACACAGACGGATTTTACTTTTTCGGGCTAAATCCCCCTCCCCCCCCCCCCCCCCCCCCGGTAATTCCACTAAACCAGGATAAACCAGAACTAAACCAGAACTTAAACCAGGACTAAACCAGGACTAAACCAGAAACTAAACCAGAACTAAACCAGGACTAAACCAGGACTAAACCAGGACTAAACCAGACTAAACCAGGAAAACCAGTAAACCAGGACTAAACCAGGACTAAACCAGAACTAAACCAGACTAAACCAGGAGACTAAACCAGGACTAAACCAGGACTAAACCAGGACTAAACCAGGATTTAACGTGTTTCTTCGTTTTCTATCAATAATATTTTTAATTTGTTTAAATAAAGTTTGGACTTTTTATTTTCTTTTATCAGACAAAACTTCTTATGTGAAGATTTCCTCGTCTTTGTTTCTCTACAGTAAATCAAGTCATCCAAAGTAATCAGATTACATTACTCACTTTAAGTACTTTAATGGATTCTGTTACAAACTACATTCTGGTGGATGTAATCTGTAATCTGTAATCTGTAGGGGATTACATTTGTAAAGTAATTTTCCAGACTCTGTCCCTGGTCCAGAGGAAACAGAAAACTGCTCCAGACTCAATCTGATTTTGATGTGGTCAAAATCAAACATCTGCAGCTTCTGTGATTCTCATTTCTTCACCAAAAACACCAAGAAGGACACAGACTTGATCTTCTCAAACAAACTGATTCATTTTATTAAAGCAGAAGCAGAAAGACGCCGTCAAACGGAGCTTCACACACCAACAATCATCACCTTTACATTTCCTTCTTCTCACAGACGCCACTTTCCTCCAGCTCCTCACCACACTCAGCTTTACTTTAGGATTTATTTGAAGGACAATGGACAGAGACATGAAGCTCCTCACAAACACAGATGTTCCTCACAGATCACAGCTCAAGCGTCTCATCTTCACCTGCGTCAAATCACTTTTATTCTAAAACCTCTGATTGTGTTTTATGAACCGCAACCCCAAGAAAAGCAGCAGATTTAGTCCAGAGACAAACATCAGGACACGAGAGGAGCCTTCAGGAACCTTCAGGAACCTTCAGGAGCCTTCAGGAGCCTTCAGGAGCCTTCAGGAACCTTCAGGAACCTTCAGGAGCCTTCAGGAGCCTTCAGGAACCTTCAGGAACCTTCAGGAACCTTCAGGAGCCTTCAGGAGCCTTCAGGAACCTTCAGGAACCTTCAGGAACCTTCAGGAGCCTTCAGGAGCCTTCAGGAACCTTCAGGAACCTTCAGGAACCTTCAGGAGCCTTCAGGAACCTTCAGGAACCTTCAGGAACCTTCAGGAACCTTCAGGAACCTTCAGGAGCCTTCAGGAACCTTCAGGAACCTTCAGGAGCCTTCAGGAAGCCTTCAGGAACCTTCAGGAACCTTCAGGAGCCTTCAGGAACCTTCAGGAACCTTCAGGAACCTTCAGGAACCTTCAGGAGCCTTCAGGACTTTCAGGAACCTTCAGGAACCTTCAGGAACCTTCGTGAGTCTTTAGGAGCCCCGTGGGACGATTATCCAGCCTGAAACACAAGAGGAAGAGTCAGAAGGTTGAGAAGAAGCTGCACAGATCCAAGACGTCAGACCTTTGGACTTGTGTTTGTAGAAGATGAACCCGGCCAAAGACAGAACCAGACCCAGGACCAGACCAGAGGCTCCGATGGCGATTTTATTCCTGTCCCCGTCTGAGAGAGCGCCCTCTGTGGAGACAACAGCTCACTACAACTACAAGTGTACAGACAGGAGCGCACCTGACACACACACCTGACACCTGACACACACCTGACACACACCTGACACACCCTGACACACACACTGACACACACCTGACACACACCTGACACACACTGACACACACACACACACACCTGACACACACCTGACACACACCTGACACACACACACACTGACACACTGACACACACCTGACACACACCTGACACACACCTGACACCTGACACACACCTGACCTGACACACACACACTGACACTGACACACCACACACACCTGACACCTGACACACTGACACACACCTGACACACACCACACACACACACACTGACACACACCTGACACACTGACACACACACTGACACACACACCTGACACCTGACACACACCTGACACACACCTGACACACACCTGACACACACCTGACACACACCCACACACACCTGACACACTGACACTGACACACACCACACCTGACACACCTGACACACACACTGACACACACCTGACACCTGACACACACACTGACACACACCTGACACACACTGACACACACCTGACACACACCTGACACACACCTGACACACAACCTGACACACACCGACACACACACTGACACCTGACACACACACCTGACACACACCTGACACCTGACACACACACCTGACACACACTGACACACACCACACTGACACCTGACACACACCTGACACACACCTGACACACACCTGACACACACCTGACACACTGACACACACCTGACACACACACTGACACACACCTGACACACACCTGACACACACCTGACACACTGACACACACCTGACACCACCTGACACACACCTGACACACACACACCTGACACACTGACACACACTGACACTGACACACTGACACACACCTGACACACACCTGACACACACCCGACACACACCTGACACACACCTGACACACACCTGACACACTGACACCTGACACCTGACACACACCACACACTGACACACACCTGACACACACCTGACACACACCTGACACACACCTGACACACACACCTGACACACACTGACACACACCTGACACACACCTGACACACACCTGACACACACCTGACACCTGACACACACCTGACACACACACCTGACACACACACTGACACACACCTGACACACACACACTGACACACACTGACACACACACCTGACACACACCTGACACCTGACACCTGACACACACCTGACACACACCTGACACCTGACACCTGACACACACTGACACACACCTGACACACACCTGACACCTGACACACACCTGACACACACTGACACCTGACCTGACACACACCCTGACACACACCTGACACACCACACTGACACACACCTGACACACACACACACACACCTGACACACACACACTGACACACACACCTGACACACACCTGACACACACCTGACACACACCTGACACACACCCTGACACACACACACTGACACACACCCTGACACACACCTGACACACACCCGACACACACCTGACACACACCTGACACACACACTGACACACACCTGACACACACCTGACACACACACCTGACACACACCTGACACACACCTGACACACACCTGACACACCTGACACCCACACCTGACACACACCTGACACACACCCTGACACACCCTGACACACACCTGACACACACACCTGACACACACCTGACACACACCTGACACACACACACCTGACACACACACCTGACACACACCTGACACACACCTGACACACACCTGACACACACACCTGACACACACACTGACACACACCTGACACACACCTGACACCTGACACACACCTGACACCTGACACACACCTGACACACACCTGACACACACACTGACACACCACACCTGACACACACCTGACACACACCTGACACACACACCTGACACACACACACCTGACACACACCCCACACCTGACACACACCTGACACACACCTGACACACACCTGACACACACACCTGACACACACCTGACACACACACCTGACACACACCCTGACACACACCTGACACCTGACACCTGACACCTGACACACACCTGACACACACACACTGACACACACACCTGACACCACACCTGACACCTGACACACACACATGACACACACACACACCTGACACACACCTGACACACACACACTGACACACACCTGACACCTGACACACACACCTGACACACACACACCTGACACACACCTGACACACTGACACACACACACTGACACACACCTGACACACTGACACACACCTGACACACACCTGACACACACTGACACACACCTGACACACACCTGACACACACACACACACACTGACACACACACTGACACACACCTGACACACACACTGACACACACACCTGACACACACCTGACACCTGACACACACTGACACACACCTGACACACACACCTGACACACACACTGACTGACACACACACCTGACACACACACCTGACACACACCTGACACACACACCACACCTGACACACACCTGACACACACCTGACACACACACCTGACACACACCTGACACACACACACGACACCTGACACACACACCTGACACACACACCTGACACACACACACACACATGACACACACCTGACACACACCTGACACACACACCTGACACCTGACACACCTGACACACGGGGACCTGACACACAGGGACCTGACACACAGGGACCTGACACACAGGTCTTACCCCAGTCCAGGACCATTGGTTCTTTGAGACTCTTGTGTTCAATCACACAGGAAATCTGGTCTCCAGACCTGCACAGAGACAAGTTTAGAAAGTCCTGGTTTAGTCCTGGTTTAGTCCTGGTTTAGTCCTGGTCCAGTACCTGGTTTAGTCCTGGTTTAGTCCTGGTTTAGTCCTGGTCCAGTACCTGGTTTAGTCCTGGTTTAGTCCTGGTTTAGTCCTGGTTTAGTCCTGGTTTAGTCCTGGTTTAGTCCTGGTTTAGTCCTGGTCCAGTACCTGGGGGAGTACTCGAGCTGTGAGTGCAGTTGGTAGTACCAGTCTGCGTCTGGCTGCAGGTCAGTCGTGGTCACTCCGGTCGTCAGACTCTGCTGGTGGTTGGTCCAGGACACACTGATGTGTTCGGGGTAAAAGCCGTAGACGCTGCAGACCAGGACCCTGTCACTGCCAGCAGAGGGCGCTGAGCTCAGCACCGCGTACGGCTCCACTGGAACACACACCGAGTCATATACACACACACACACCGAGTCATATACACACACACACACCGAGTCATATACACACACACACACCGAGTCATATACACACACACACCGAGTCATATACACACACACACGAGTCATATACACACACACACACACCACGAGTCATATACACACACACACACCGAGTCATATACACACACACACACACACCGAGTCATATACACACACAACACGAGTCATATACACACACACACACACAGAGTCATATACACACACACACACACACACCGAGTCATATACACACACACACCGACACACACACGAGTCATACACACACACACACACACACCGAGTCATATACACACACACACACACCGAGTCATATACACACACACACCGAGTCATATACACACACACCGAGTCATATACACACACACAATATACATCATATACACACACCGAGTCATATACACACACACACAGTCACACACACACACACATCATATATCATATACACACACACCGAGTCATATACACACACAACACCGAGTCATATATACACACACACACACCAGTCACACACACACACAGAGTCATATACACACACACACACACACACACCGAGTCATATACACACACACACACAGTCACACACACACACCGAGTCATATATACACACACACACGAGTCATATACACACACACGAGTCATATACACACACACGAAGTCATATACACCACACGAGTCATATACACACACACACACCGAGTCACACACACACACGAGTCATATACACACACACACCGAGTCATATACACACACACCGAGTACAATACACACCGACACACACACGAGTCATATACACACACCGAGTCACACACACACCGAGTATATACACACACCGAGTCATATACACACACCGAGTCATATACACACAGAGTCAGATCATATACACACACACCGAGAGTCATATACACACACACACATACACACAGAGTCATATACACACACACACACCGAGTCATATACACACACACGAGTCATATACACACACACGAGTCATACACACACCGACTACACACCGAGTCACACACACACCGAGTCATATACACACCGAGTCATATACACACCACCGGAGTCACACACACAGTCACACCACACACCGAGTCATATACA